GTCACGGCTGTGGGTCTCCCAAACACTCCAGTCAAGATGACAGAAGGTAGTCAAAGCCACGGCTGTGGGTCTCCCAAAACCTGCAGTAAAGTTGACAGAAGGTAGTCACAGTCATGGATGTGAGTCTCCCAAACCCTGCAATAAAGTTGACAGAAGGTAGTCACAGCCACGTGTGTGGGTCTCCCAAACCCTTCAATAAAGTTGACAGAAGGTAGTCACACTCACGGCTGTCGGTCTTCCAAACCCTGCAATAATGCTGACTGAAGATAGTCACAGTCACGGCTGTGAAAATCCCAACTCCAGCAGTAAGTGTGGCATTCTATTTTGACTGTGATATGATCAGTTCATTCACAAACCTAAAGCCAATTATTTGGAGATTTAAATGAGAGTGTAAGCCACAAACTTATTTGAGAAATTCTAATAACTCATTGAAATTTCCGAAGTAGATTTTGAATTAACTTGAAAACTGTCTATATTCTGGACTAAATTTTCATGTGAGTTTCTTCTATAGAATCTTAAGGACGACATACTATCCTCAGGATTAATAGGTTGCTTTAGTTTTACAATTCGGTAATATGAACAGAACACAGCCTTTCGTTAATTATTTTTAAGTCCTCAGTTGAAATTGTGCATGGCTATGTACATTTAAGTCGATCCGCCAAAAAGAGCCAATGCTCCGTGGTTGAGGTCATCATTGAAGTCGGATCAAGTCTAGCAAATCAGTGATACTAAACAAACAGATTAACATATATTTTATGAAACTGACTTCAAGGTCGATACAAATAAAGTCCATTCAATTTTTCTCTGACGTCAATTATACAAACAACATCCTGAAAACCATTGAGATCGTAATGTATTGATATTAGTACCTAGTGCTTTCGGGCGTTTTCACATTCGTTTTTCTGTTTTGTATCAAATTCTTCTTTATTAGCAGTCTTTCCAGCTGTTTTCTAAAGACCTGGCCGCTCAAAGTCGACACAAATGTTCCAAATTTAGTACACTACCAACAAACAAACGAAAAGTTTATGTCTTACACCATCCAGTTGTGGATCACCTTGTAGTTGTTACGTATCTACAACTGGCACAGTTTAAATGTAGATCAGAACCTTCATATTATTCCAAATTACCATATATCTCTCGCACGTTCATTCCTGGAAGTCTTGGATTAGATACTGTCTTTTTCCTTTCGGCTTGCAGACCGTTTCTGAGACCCACTTATCTAATTGCTACCGTTGACTATCTCTTGAAATATAAATTGGCCTGGGTGTGAAGCTGACCGCTTTTATCTAGTTCAGAGTTGCAGAAAGTTTGGATCTACACCTCCATTCCCTAATATTGTTTTATGGTGTGTGACTAACGTCCTTTACTTTGGATTTGGGGTCTTTAATTTATGTCAAATGGGTACTTCAGCGTTTAATGTTAGAGAATTTATGGTATAGAATTAGCTATAAAATGAAGTATGTAGAGTGATCTAGTAAGGGTGCAGGCTTGGACGTTTCACTGGTCTTTTCGGTACTTGAGAATTCAGACTGAGGAAATCTTCGGAAATAAGTTGGTCACTGTTTAGAATAAACAACACTTCAAGATAGTTCATATAACAAAACCAGTTAAAGGCAGAGTAGTGAAACTTATAAACTAATGCGACCACAATCCAGCAAAGCTCAGTCCCTACAGTGACTGCGCTAAAGGGTGGGAGACAGGAGAATCAGGATTTGATTCCAAACGGAGGGAGAAATTCTCCCTTTACTACCGTTTCCTGTTCTCGTGCCCACTAATTCTCCCCTCCAGTAGATACCATGCGTTATTTCTGATGAGATAAAGTGGCCGGGGCTTGACCCTGACTATTCGTCCCTGTCTACAACCTAGGTAAAGAATATATAGAGCTATACATTCATACCCCACCTATCTTCATGTCGTGATGCTTAATCAGAACACAACTTTACTCTGCATAATCATAATCAAATTTTACTTGTTGACTTAAAGACCTCATATTTTGATTCCATTCATCCGATTATTTTCCTTCACAGAACATTCTCCGTTTCTTCCTTTCATTCTTCCTTTGTCTCTTCTCCTTATTGTCTTATTCATTCTTCTAGTTACTTCTTTCTTCAGCTTTCTTTCTTTAGGTTGTTTTTCTTGTGACTGTTTTTTCCTCCACCTGTTTCTGTGTCTGATTGCAGTCAGAAAATCTGATAATTATCGGAATTACGCAGGACAAACGAATGAAGAAGAAAGACGAAAATAAGCGAGGGAGAGAGGAGAAGATGAACAAGTTGTGTAAGGAGTATTGAAAGAGAAAATGGATAAGGAGGCCAGAAATATAGAGGAGGAAATCGTGAAGAATGAAGAAAACTGAAAAATTGGAGAAAGAAGTTAAAGAGTTACGGGGAGAAGTTCGAGAAATGTAACAAGAATTAGAGAAGAGCAAAAAATTGGGAAAAGGTGAAGGGAAAGAATCTTGTGGTTATAACGATGTTGAGAATTTCTTGACTGTATAATCATTTGTTTTTTGTAGTTGTTTTAATGACCTGCGTAACTTCCGCATTAGGTCAATTGTAGACGTAAGGCCCATGTTTTTTGCAGCTTGTCTAGTAAGGGTATAATCGTTCTCCAAACAGATTATATAACTTACAATTTTCAACACATAATACCCCTGACTATTGCCTGAATCTCTTTCCATTGCCCGGTTTCAAACAATATAAGCAGATGATCATTAAATTTATTTTAAATTCATGTCTTCAATTAATGTGACGGTTTTCATTGGCTACAATTATCTGAAATTTTAAGATTTAATCTTATTTTCAATGTAATATACCGAAAATCACTGTGGCCGCGTGGTCTAAAGAATGAAGTGCTTTACTTCTCTCAAACGCGAGGATCGTGAGTTCGAATCCCACTCGAAGTATGGATGTCTATTCGAGATTATTATGTGTTTATGTTATCCTGTGTAGGCGGCGGATATGCGAGGGGATGTTCACCCGTCCAAGGAGCCCTACAGACTGTCTGTAAGATTCAACTTACAGAATTAATTCCGAACAGGCACAGACCAGAGAACCCAATCCTTCAAGCCAGCAGAAGAAGAAAATTGTAATATATTATAAATTACATTTCTATTATTGAGGCCCTGCTCACAAAGTCTAATCGATCCTCCTCTTGTCGAAGACGAGACCATGTTTCCAAACCAACAATCGGTCTCGGAACTAACATGAATTACGTGTTTGGTCCAGAACCCAAGAATGACTGTGATGGCGAGGCCAGCAGCAAATTACTGGACTTGACACGCTTGCCTTGACAGAAATCCAATCCTATGTTTTGGTGCAACTATACTTTCCCGAAATCAACAATTAATCTGTTAAACATATTGTAAATGCTTTCTGACTTACAACTGACCTTGACTATGTTCCTCGAGAGACCGTTGTTGTTATTATTGGATACCGTCCAGCAGTGTAATCCATCAGATGCATGAAGCTGGATTTGTCAAAACTGACATTTCGCGTTTGGGTTCCTAGTTCTCGTAATATCCACCCTCCCCCCTGAAGATACAGTCTGTGCAGATTTTTTTGGAGAGACATATTATTGAAATCCAATCAAAATTGATAGGATGGTTTTGTAGCTAGTCGCCATTCTGATTTTTGTGGGACTCATCTGAAGGACCTTTATTTTTCGAGCTAAAATGTTCTTAATCACTGATCGTTAACCTGAGATGAATAGTCTACTTTCTTTAATACCGAACACGAATAAGATCCGGTCAATTGTTCAGATGTTAGCGAAGTGTTCATACATACATTTGCATATGTAGCTGTGTACAAAATAATAACAGGAATAAGAAATTGAGGAATATAATTTGCTTGTTTTAGCTACATTGAAAGAATTTCAGTTGGCGACACTGAATGGTCTTCCCGTTTGCTTACAACTCTGTAATGATCGTGTCAGTGCATTAGTGATTGTGTTGAGTTAGAGTCCGCGTGAAAAAAAAATTGGAAAATAGAAGAAATGTCCGATTGTGAAAGAGGACAGATAGTTGGTGCACGTTTAGCTGGAGCTTTTGAGAAGACTGCCACATTACTACGTGTATCGAGAGCGTATGTAGTTAAATAAACAACTGAACGAAAATAAGTTGGATCTGACGTGCTGACGGCGATGACTATGAAGAGTACAGTCTAGTTTGATGTGACGTCGTGTATTAATTTACTGACGTTTCGGAAGAACACATTTATCTTCAGGGTCATAACACACGCAGGGTCATAACACGTGTATAACACACGCAGTCACAGGAGCAAAACACAACACAGAGCACAATACACACACGAAAGTAGAAAGAGTGCTCCGACAGAAGAGGATAGGTGTGACTCGCGTAGTGAGATACGACGTAGGGACGAAAAATCCTGAACAATTTTAATATTTTTAATATTTAATATTTATCAATATATATGATAAATATATATTTAAATATTTTAATATGAAGACGGCAAGGCATGCAGTGAACTAGTTTATCGTAAATCGAATAAGCACCTGAAGATGGCACTTTTGTGCCGAAACATGTAGTGCGAGAGAGAGGAGTGAGATAGATGAGTGTATGCACTGGAAGACGGTTGAAATAAATCATGGTCATAAAGGAAGCCAAGCATGCTACCAGGAAGAATCAAGCCCTGCTTGCTAAACGGTGTCACATCTCGGATTATAGTGTTCTAAATAAAAACTATCTCGAGGTATTTATAGGGGGGAAAGTTGTATAATCTAACCATCTAATTACACAAATTGTTAGATTGATTCCGGGGTTGTTATTGTCCCATATTCAGGGACAGTGTGTAGTATCATTGCTCTCCTACACTTTCCTCTCATCCTTTCACTCTCGCCTCTCCCGCTCCTCGTAATTCTTCCCCCTCTCCCTGGCCACACTCTCACTGACTTGATCGGTCACTTATGCTGCATGCTACATCAACGCTGCAAGTGTTTTTACCACGGTTCCCCTCTCAGTTAAAAGCCTTGCTGCTGTCTGCCAGCTTGTTCATTACATTCCGTGCCGTGTTTGTGTGCCAAACTCAACAGTTAACGATCGAGTTCCGCTGCTCCAATTTATACGTAAGTACACACTTGTCTCTTCAGAAAGGCATGGCAAGATGATACAGTGTTGTGTTGTTATAACTGTCGAATGCGACTCCAAAGTGGTATTAAAATAATATCGTTTAACGTCGAATTGTAATGTTTGTGGGCTGATGCTGGAGATAACGGTGATTCTACATTGTGAAATTTAGGAATTGGAAATGAGACGGCGTTGATCTGATTGAATAGATTTACGTGTACGTGGATTGAATCAGTGAAAATTCAATGTATTTGAATTCGAACAGTGAATTTACCAATAACCATACAAATTTACTGTCATCAGTAATTTAGTGCACTTAATTGTAGACATGTGTGTTTCGGCGTTTATTTAACGAATCTCAATTGCATATTTTATATAACCTCGAATAAATGGTGGTCACAAACGATGAGCAGATAAAGAGTTTTGAAGGAGGTGAACGTAGTATATTTCAACCCATGTTATATTAAAATATTTTAATTTTCAGTGTGAAATTAATATATATATATATAAATGCTTAAAAATTGTCTCAAACTTAGGTTTATTGGTGCAATTCATCTTGTCCAGTAGTTGCAGAATTAAAACTTAAATCCAGTTCCGTTTCACATTCGTGAACGTAATCAATAGCCGAACTCGTCCAACTATGGGCTGGAACGCATACAGCGACATCTGTCGTACGGAAAAATGTCGTACGATTTTTTTTTTTGCCGTACGATCTCCTTTTCACACAAGAGCGACCAAATACATTTCTTTGCTCTCCGACTGTCGTATGGTAGATGTCGCATGTCGTCACATATGAAAGCTAAGACTAAACTATATATTCTACTACTTGATGCGACGTGAACCGTACGGACGTCGTACGACCGATGTCGCTGTATGTGTTCCTAGACTATGTCAGTGGGTTAAAGTATGAGTTTCCTTTGAGAAACTGATAACTTCGTGAGAACCTACAGATAGGCTGGGCGACCTCCAGACTGGGTGTCAGAATGAGTTTTTGAGAATATGAAACAGAGATATTAATCACTGGAATTCAACTGTCGGTGAAGTTTCTGGACATGATTAATGGTTATGAATTTTGTACTTGACAGATGGGTTACCTCTACGACAAATACTCTGCAAGTAAAGATATTCCCCTAACAGGCTGTGGAGGCCCATAGAGTTGTACTTGTAAGATGTCGAGGTTCCGACATTATCTAGACAATCGGCTCAAAGATGGCGGTGAGGATGTCAGCCTTACGCGCCGGCCGCCCTTTACCCCAGAATATTCAATGAATATTCCTGGTACTCATTTCTGTTGGAGGCTGAGTCGACCCCAGGGCCATAGTGCAACCGGAAGGATTAGGTCAATTGAAAAAAAAAATCCAATGAAATAATCGGGACTTGAACTCGCGACCTTCCGGCTTGTAGCATAGTGCTTCAACCAACTACGCTACCACTTCCCCCCCCCCAAATTATCCTAACGTAGGCTCGAAAATTTTTTCTTCAATTTGCCGGCTTAAGGCACTTGGAAAATTGCTTCCTCAAAATGGAGCGATTTTTATAATTTTTAACTATTTATTTGACTGCAAATGGTGTTTTGCCCGGTGTAAGTGATAATACAATAAGTCACTATAAACCTAAATCTACGGAGGTGGTGTTTCCCCCATTTCGAGCCCTCATTAGAAAAATTATGAGAAGAATCAGTATTGGTCTGGAAGTTGGGACAACTATACCGACAGCTGCCTGAAGGTACTGAGGACAACGGCGTCAAATCTCAGCCAGTGTAATCTGTGTTCCAGCTGAGATTTCGATTTGGCACTTCCGAACAAAATTCGGAAGAGTTAACGTTTGAGCTAAATTACTTAGTCAGATGGCACCAAGAAGATGGAGGACATGTGATCCATTCCAGAACGCCTCATAGTTTCATTTAATATTTTTCTATCCTCCTCTTTAATATACTCACTTGGTCGCTCCATATCTCAAGCAGTTAGTCGCTGGCTTCCCACCGCGGTCAAGTGGGATTTGTGGAGGACAAAGTGGCGCTGGGACAGGTTTTCTCCGAGTACTTCGGTTTCCCCTGCCATCTTCATTCCATCAAAATCTCCATCATCATAATCACCCGGGGCCGGTACAATAGGCCAATCAGTGGCCGCCGTGCCGAGTGGACCCAGCTGGACTCCACCCCCCACTAAGCGAAAAAATTTTAATATACTCACTACACCACTAAGAATTCATAATAAAAATAGTAGATCTTCAGCCTTATGCCTCGGCCGCCCTTTACCCCTCGGCACATTCCTGGTACTCATTTCTGTTAGAGGCTGAGTCTACCTCAGAGCCATAGTGCGGCTGGAAGGGTTAGGTCAATTGAAAAATCCAAGGAACTCATTGGGAATCGAACCCGCGGTCTTCTGGCTTGTAGCATAGTGCCTCAACCAACTACGCTACCGCATGCCCCAATTGCTCACTTATTTGGAATAATAATGAAATAGCATCGAGTAAATACAGGTTGCAAGTAATTCATTCGGTAAAATGTTATGTAGCTTCATGCGGCTGACGTCTGTTATAAAATTTGTGACCCACTTTTGTAGCTAGGCGTTGGGAAATCAACCAGACACACCTTTATAAAATGACTATTCTTACATATGAAATTGTACAAAACGAAACAAGAAGTTCCTGCCAGAACTCACACAGCTTACTTTCTCATTGCACAGACCTCCACCTCCACGGCTTGTGTCGTAAACGATATAATTGGGTTATACGGGTTTATAAGTTAAGAATATCAATTGGAAGCTAAACGTCCGGTCAAGTTGGCTACGCTTCAGCATTCTACTGGCGGTCACGTGTTCAAACAGCAGATTCTTCATGGTTATCCTCAGTCTCTCTGGGTAAATACAGCGATAGTGTAAGTTACACGAGGACTGCTCGCGTCCACATCCTTTCCAATTCATTCTGACATTCGACTCTGCACAGTCTACGCTATTGATAAATTCATTCAAAAACCATAAATAAATGTATTTTTTATTGCTAGTTGGGGTGGGACTACGTCTCTTGTACTGCGGCTACTTCTGGCCTATTGTACCAGACCCAGATGATAGGTGAGGGTGATTGTGGAGCAATTGGAGGAATGGAGATTGGCAGGGGAAACCGAAGTGCTCGGAGAAAACCTGCCCCAGCGCCACTTTGTCCACCACAAATCCCACTTGACCAGACCCGAGATTGAACCCGGGTCGCCGCGGTGGGAAGCCAGCTACTAACCGCTACTAACTAACTACTTACAAATGTAAGTTGTGTACGAAATGGAACAATATTAGATCCACTGTATACAGACAAAATGGTAGAAATATTAAAGTATCGAGTGAATTAGAAACACATATCAATTATATGAAACACAGTAATCATTAATATTAAAGGTAAAGTAAAGTTGCCCCTGTGTTTAAATAATTAAGCATTATGACATGAAGATGTATGAGGTAGTTATCTTGACCTTGGAAGTAGTTGGAGGTGAGTGGTCAACTTCACGCCCCGGCCGCATTAGCCCCGGAGAAAGAGCCTCCAGCATACCATTATATAGGAGGCTGAGTGGACTCTTGAACTGGTCTGGACGATGTGAAGAAAATTCTTGACTCTACCGGGACTCGAACCCCGAACCCTTTGTCGTCCAGTCCATAGCCAATCGCTAAACCGACTGGGCTATCCCTGTTCATAATTATTAATATTACTTAAATTAAACAATCCGAGGACAAGGAAACTTGGGAAGAACCAGAAGCAAATGGAAATATAATTTGTTTAACTTCTTAACATCACAATAAATTTGCAGTCCCCTGTCCTTGGAAAACACTAAAAATAAAAAATGTTGAAATTGCTGAATATGTTTTTAGGCTTTTGTGTGTTTGGTCGTAGATTCTAATGTTAATCAAATCAGATACTTGTATCGCTGCAGCTGTAAATGTGTTGCAGCTGAGGTCAGGAAGCCATAGTTCTGCAGGAGTATCTGTCTCTGTGACCACTACAGTCCATGAAGGATTTTGGCTTCTATTTTTAGAGTTTCTTAATCTAACATGGTCGGTACGACCCTTTGGACGGGGGATCAGCCTGTCGCAAGGTCGCTACTTGCACAGAGAACAACACAAACAAAGAATAAACATCCATGATTCGAATGGGATTCGAACCGACGATCCCATGTTTGAGCAGGCGAAGACAGTTCATGCCTTAGACCGCGAGGCCACTGTGATAGGCGTTGTGCTTAGGTATTATAACAAAATATTTTAAAGATAAAATTGTCCCTCTACTTAATTAACCACTACGCCATGAAGGCGTATGGGGGAGTGGATGTATAGATATATATTTTCTTGACCTTGGCACTAGCTGGAGGTGAATTGTCAGTTTCACACCCCGGCCGCTTTATTCCCGGGGAAAGAACCCCCTGTACCAATTGGATAGGAGGTTGGGTGAACCCCAGAGCTGGTCTGAAAGATGTGGAGAAGAGAAAATTCTTGACCCTACCGGGTCTCGAATTCCAAACCCCCGATCGTCCAGCCCGTAGCTGGTTGCTGTTTAAGGTGATGTAAAAATAATTTAACAAACCATAACCTCAGATTCGCTTGTTGAAAAACGAGATATCAGAAGGTAAGAAAGGAGGTTATGAAGTTAGCTTTAGCCGTGAGTGGCAACTGTGGTGGCATTACAACAATCTGCGATGGGGCAACTCTCTGAGATTCGCTATCAGAATGCAAAGAGTCTAACCCGAGCCTGCCCGGAGTAGCAAGTGACTGTTACATGTTCGTGTACTCAGAGCCTTGAGGCTCCGCATTCGTGACGAAAGGACCTATAAATACAAAACGAAATAAGTCCGCGGAGCTTCTTGAACAGCTGATGATTTCTCAGCTACTCCGGAAATTCCTAGCGTTTTATAGAAATTATGGGTACATTTCCTTGCTCACAGGAGCCCACCAGTTGTCCCCATCCTTAGCCCGATAAATCCCTCGCATTCTGTATATTTGAGATCAATTTTAATATTACTATC